TTCTTTTTTTTTGTGTGTGTGTGTGTGTGACAAGGTCTCACTCTGTCACCCAGGCAAGAGTGCAGTGGCACAATCACAGTTCATTGTAACCTCAACTCGTGGGCTTAAGTGATTCTTCTACCTCAGTCTCCCAAGTATCTAGGACTGCAGGTGTTTGCCATCCTGCCTAACTAAATTTTTATTTTTTGTAGAGACAGGGTCTTGATATGTTGCCCAGGCTGGTGTCCAACTCCTGGCCTGAAGCAATCCTCCCCTTTAAGCCTCCCAGAATACTGGGATTATAGGCACAAACCACTATGCAAGGCTGTTGTTTTTTATTTTCTACTTTAGACATTACCTACTGACTCTCTAATATGTACAACAAAGATTTAACTCTCTGATAATTGACAGTTACCTTATTATTTTTAAGTTTTTCTACTCATAATATTGCACTTGGGATTGATTGTTACTCTGGCTTGGGCTGATAGGACAGAGCAGACGGCTGAAGAGTCTGTTTTGAGGACATCCTAGAGCTGCCATGCCAGCCCTGGTGGGCCAGTACAGATCTCCTACTGCCTACAGACTTCTTCCTGAGGAGGAAGTAACTTCATCTTGTTTGGTCTTTCTCGTTTGGTGGCTTCTGTTATTTCCAGCTGTAGCTAATCCTGACTGACGCATACTGTTCTCAGGATTCAGTGCAAATGGCCTTCCAAATCCCAGCCCTGCCTCTCTCTGAGCCTCTATAACTATTAGTAAAAGGACTGAAAAAAAGAAGCATCTCACTTCAGAGAGATTAAGTAACAAGCTCAAGTTCACAAAGTTAGTAAAGCAGGATTTGGACTGAGGTTTGACTGACTTGTTCTAAGTGCACCAAACTGTCTAATAATTTAGCTTCCCTTGAACTAGTCCCTTCAGAAGAAGGGCAGAACTGACTGTCAGGTAAACACAAATGTCCAGTCTATTGGATGGCTATTATAAATTTCTCAGTGAAATTTCGCAAAGAGAGATTTTTGTGTGTAAATTCAATTTTCTTGTAAATTTAACCAGAATGAGGCCACCTCCCCAAGTTTGATCAGCTCAGAAGTAGGTACTAACAGCATCAAGTCACAAAACTGAGACCCAAACCCTGCCCTGAGGTGGATTTACTAAGTTAGCACCACTTATTTAGGTGTCTTGGGGCCCAGCTGAAGTTCTCCTCTCACCCTTCAAACTCCTGGGGACTGCTGCAGACTGAGTAATGCTCTTAGTTCGTATTCCATATTGACCATTTTTCTAATCACATTACTACACTCTGGTTTTTTTTTTTTTTTTTTGGTGAGAAAGGACAGAAATCATCCCTCCTCTAGTCGACAGGGAGACATGTGACCAGGCCAGGCCAATCAGATTCTCTTTCCTGAGCGGAGACACAGAATAACCAAGGGAAGTTAAACTTGAATCATCACAGGGGTGGACTTAGGGTGACAGTCAGCAGGTTTCTCAGGCCAAAGGCCTCAGAGCTGCCCGTCATCAATTTGCCCTCAGATTAGAGGGTTGCCCTGGCTTTTTTCTAATAACTCTTTCATTCTTAAATTAGAGCCAGTCTCTATTGCTGACAGTCAAAGAATTATAACTGATGACCTTTGAACTAGAGAAAACGTTAAAAGACATGGACAATATTTCCTTTTCCCATGAACTGAGGGGTTCTCTAGAATTTGTTTTGTAGGTGAAGAGGGGACAAGGGCAATGCAACTGCTGCTCATATTCTGGGTTGGGTAAGTCACAGCCTTTGTCCATCATTGGAAGCCTCCTAAAGACAGAGGATGATAATTGAAAGTCCTCTTACCACAAGGCATGGAATGAAACTTAGGAACTATTAACTATATAGAAAGCCCCTTACTGAAGTAGTCATTGAGTGTGTGTAAAAACAAACTTAAGACTGATTCTACAAAATTCATCAGTTCAATTCATAAGCTTACCTGCTCTCAGAAAAGGGTAGAATTCTGTCAACTGGATTTGTGAGATCTGGGAGTGTTCAGAGGACATAAAAGGCCCTGAACATAATCCTTTAGAAAGATTTTTTTCTGACCTCCATTACCAAGAAAGTTGTACCCCTCTCTACCCTCATCTTGTCAGGGCTCCCACAGACCAGAGCCATTGGCTCGACAGCAGAGTGGGATGGTTTGCTGGAAACTCAGCTATGGCACTGGAAGCAACACCTTGAGAGGCTGGTTCGGGCCTGCAGGAGGGAGTGTAAGTTTTGAGCAGGTGGCTGTTTCTCCCGCAGGGCAGGGCCAGGGCGGCACATGGAGCTGGACATGTTGCCAGTGCATCCTGATGCTCTTCTCAGACATGAGGTTTGGGACCAGGCTAGCACAGAGGTTTTAGTCCTCAAAGAAGAAATATATCCTCAAAGACACGGTAACAATTCAACTGAATTGGAAGCTGAGGAAGCCACCTGGCTGTTTCAGGCTCCTTATATCTCTGAGCAACAGATAACAAAAGTTTATGAGTGCAGCTAGGACGGAGGACCCTATCGAAGGGAAACATGATTGCTGCTGCATGAAAGGTGGCCCTGGAGGGTTCCAGAGGGCTTTCTGTGTGCCGGGTCACATAGGCAGAGAGAGGAGCTAGACTTCAGAACTGAAGACTTGGGTCACTCCAACAGGCAAAAAAATCCATAATCATAAACACTGGTTCTCATGACTAGTTAAAGAAATGGACAGGAGACTTTACATATACTTCCTTTCTTGCTTGTTTGTGTAATTTTGGTTGAATGTGGTTAATTTTGCCAGTTAATCCACAGGGTGCAGAATTTCAAAATAGGATTGTGTTAAAACTGAGAGAGGACGATTATCACAAGTGACACTGGACTGTGGGAAACCACAGCCCAGTCATTACCCCTGGACTTAGTGGTTGGATATGACTGTGAATTCCCAAGCAGGGAGGAATTTGGTTTTGGTTCTATGTGGGAGAGTGGTAACACATCAGATGGGAAGAACAAGGAGTGTGTTTGGCTTGGTCTACTAAACACCTTCTATCCTGGCACTCTCCACCATTCTTCTAGTGAGAATCCCCATCCTTGGAAGACTGTCTCTGTGCAGACTCCCTCACCTGGATTTTGAATCTTGAGTGAGGGAGACCCACGAGAACCAATGGCAAGTTAGTGTTATGCTGACCACAGCAGCTTCGGGGGGACTCAAGCCCTGGGGCTGTCCTGGCTCCCACCCATCCTAAGACTGTTTTTGGTTCTGTGAACTATCCCAACATCTTTCTCATGAACCCTTTTTCCTTACTAAGTTGGTTCAAGTTAATTCCTATTGCTTAAAACCCATTGATCCTAACAGATTCTCTCCTGAGACTGTCTGGTATAACTTTGTCTCCCAGTCGCTGCCAGCCAGGGTCAGGCATTAAGTAGGTGCTGAGTTTATGTGTGCTGAATGAATGGTGAATGAACAAATGAACAATACACAAATTCTCAGTTCACCAAAGTAATCTCAATTTGCAGGCTGGGAAAACTGGGGTCACACTGAGGCAAGAGGAAAAAGTGAGGCATCACCTGAGCACAAGAGGAGGTAGACAAGTTTAGAAATGTGAGAATGGAGGGACATGTCAGACAGGGGAGGCCCCAGTGGGGAGTGAGGGAGGATGGGTCTTGCAGGAACCCAGGCAGCCAGGGACACAGAGCATTTCTGCAGAGCCCCAGCCCTGCTCTTCCTTCCTGAGTTTCTTCCTTTGTGTTCTTCTTCCAAAGGCATAGGCCCCAGGTACCCTCTGAGGGGTACAAGCTATCAGCCCAGCTGTGTAAGAAGCATGGGCTCTAGCTGTGGGCACAGAAACTTAGACTCAACCTAAGTCCAGGAGCCAAAATGTAGATTCATTCTTCTGAACATGGCACCAGATGAGGGCAAGGAGGATGCACAGTTGCTGCCTTCATTGCATTCCAGACCTACCCTACCCCAGGCCTCAAGGAGAGATGCGCAGGAAGAGGCCAGGCTGCTGGGGCCTGCATGGAAGTTCCCTGGGAGCCCATACTGGCTAGAGCTGGAGTCCCAGGATTAAGAGCTAATGGTTGGGGGCAGAGCCCCTAATTTCCAGGTGCTGAGACAGCCCTGCACCCAAGTGCACGGGTGCACTGCATCCCTTCTAGGACACATAGGGATATCCTCCATGGTGAGGAGTCCAGTGCCCTGCCCCTTGGTGAAAGAGGATGCAGCACAGGGCTCCTCAAAGTCACCCGCAAAGCCCGGTTGCTGACACAACCTTGTGGCTGCTCTCGCCTCATGAGCACAGAGCCTGGGAGTTGCAGAGAGGAGAGGACTAGGATGGAGCAATATCCCAGAGGTGCTATTCTTCTCTTGGGCAGGGTGTGGGGTTAAGGCAAGGGTAACCCTCAGGCAAAGGGACAAGGGAAGTCCCTTTGTGAAGGGCAGGCAAGGGGAAGAACTTGGGCTCAAATCCTGGGAGGAGGGTGGTGCAAGGGAGCAAAGGGGGCCAGGAAGCAGTGAGTGAAGAGAGGCAATAGCATGAGCACACTTCAGAGACCACTGCACAAGAACGTGACGGGCTATGGGAGGGCCCCATGTGGGCTCAGTGGTACGTTAGTTCCAGGGTAAGCTGGGATGAATGAGCCAAAGTAGAGGGGGAGGATAAGTGAGCCAAAGTAGGCAGGGGAGGAGAAGACACCCTGAGAATCACCAGCCAGACACAGCGGAGGAAGCACGGAGCCCTGAGGAAGGGAGAGAGATCAGGGCCAAGCAAGAAGAGGGTCAGGTGGGCCTGCGTGTCCCCAGAGCACATTGGCTGTGGGAAGAGTCTGAGGCGAGGGACTGGGTGCAGAACTCATGCAGAAGACTCAGGGGACCCCATGGGAACCCCAGCTTCAGTGAGTGTAAACTTGGAGGAGGGCTAGGCCACCAGGCACATGGAGGTGGCCCACTTGAGGCCTGGGAGCCCCAGTGATGATGGCAGCATAAGAGGCCAGTGGGTTGTGTGCCGTGCACCAAAGCCGTCTGATGAGGAGCTGCTGGCAGGCTGTGCAGAGCCCCAGTGGTGCCTCCTAGTGCACCTTCTCTGGCTGCACTGAAGCCGTCTGATGAGGCGCTGTTGGACAGGCTGTGCAGAACCACAGTGGTACCTCCTCCTGCACTTCTTTGTTAGGAACGTCTCGGTCCAGTCCCAGCTGCTTCCGGACTGGGGAGCTGCTGGGTGGAGGCACCCAGCCTCTTGGTGGGGCTACCGCCTGACCTGGGCCTCCAAGCCCTCCTCTTGGGTGGGAGGCTGTCCCAATAATTGGATGGCGACTGGCTCTGAGGCCTGGGGGGTGCCCTTGGAGTTCAGGGTGCTCTTCCGGGTGCCCTGAGGACTAGGGAGGCCTTTCTTCTGAGGCTGAGGGCTTAGCTGGGTGCCCTTCCTGCCAGCAGATGGACTCTTAGAGCCTTTGGCCTTGGTTTGCAGGTAGGCAGCCTCAGGGCCCTTGAGGGCTGTCAGCCCCAGCATCTCACAGTAGGCGTTGCACTGGTGGGATGAGGCAAACTGGTCCAGCAGGGCAGGGAAACAGCTCTCCTTGAGGCCTTGATATCTGTAGCCAAACAGGAAGAGCTGAGTGGGGGTCCTACCCAGAGTGACAGCCACTTTGGGGACTGCTTTGGGATTGCTGCTGTTAGAGTGTCATGCTTGGGGCACATCTGACCCCGCTTAACAGTGACGGGGGTCTCCTCTGGGTTCTACCCCCAGTGGCAGCACACAAGCCTAAATGATACCACCGCTGTCCCATTGCACCCTGGCATGTGGAACTTATCATGTGGGACATTAGCTGTGTGAATGGTTTGGAGTTTTTTTGTTTTTTGATGCAGTCTCACTTTGTCACCCTCCGGAGAGTGCCATGGCGTCATAGCTCATCACAGTAACCTCAGACTCTTGGGCTCCAGCAATTCTCTTGCCTCAGCCTCTTGAGTAGCTGGGACTACAGGTGTCCTCCACAACACCTGGCTATTTTTAGAGATAGGTCTTTCTCTGGCTCAGGCTGGTCTCCAACCTGTGAGCTCAGGCAATCCACTCCCCTTGGCCTCCCAGAGTGCTGGGATTACAGGCATGAGCCACCATGGCCGACCTTGGTTTGCTTTTTAAATATGAAAAGCAAACTCAAGGCAAGCACTCTAACCACAGGCCCTTGCTCACCGGCATGGTGAGAGTACGCTCAGGTAGAAGAAAGCAGAGGAGCTCAGTGAGGACCTGGAATGGCAGAGGACCCTGTATGTCCCTAGGTACCACCTGGCCATGAGTGTGACTTGGATCATTTGGCCCCAGGCCCAGAACCTCAGGGATAGAGAACAAAAGGAGACATTTTACACCCTAAGAAGACTCTCAGAGGGCATTCGCTCCCCTGAGCCACTCACCCTCGCAACTTGGTGGCAATCTGCACATCAGTCATCTTCCAGTCAACCCCTGAAAGAGAGAAGGTTGAGGGCTGATGCCAGTCAGGGCTGGTCCTGAGCACCATGTTTCCAGCACAGACGCCGCCTCAGACAGGAACTTCCCAGGTCCAGAGAAGACACTTCAGACATCCTCCTGCTGGTCATTACCACCTGCCGCTCACAGACAGTGTGCAGAGCTCTGTCTATTACTAGGCATATAAAACTAGGACATGCCTGTTTTTTACAAGTGAGTCAAACTCAAGCTTTGATTCAATAATGGAACATTGACCACATGTGGTGCCATCTGCATCCACAGCCATGTTCAGTTTTTCTGACGCCTAGAGCCAGAGCTGTTCCAGCCACACAATCTGGCCTCTGTGGGCACAGACCAGGTCACAGACTAGGCTGGCCTCTGGCTTTTTAAAACCTTGTCTTTCCTCTTAACAGATTAGTAGTCTATCTGGACAAGAGAGAGGGAATGGGGATGTGAGGATCAGTCAGGGGTAGGGCAGCAGAAACACTACTCAGCATGGCTGGCTTCTGTACTCACTCTTCAAGAAGCAAGGTTGTCTTCTAGGTGAAGACAGCCTTTGGGAGAACAAAGCCAGGAAAAATGGTGACAGAGAAAAAATGCTTCCACTAGGGTCAGTCCTCCCAAGTATCTTAGCTTTCATGTGGCAGGTTTGTAGTCTTTTTCCCCCATTTTCAACCTGTCCAGAGCATTTTTCTAGGAACTTTTCCTTCACCATCATATGATGAGTAGAGTCAGACACACCTGGATTCACATTTCAGCTCTATCACTGCTGAGCTACGTGAACTTGGCAAGTTACTTCATGGCTCTAGCTCTCAGTCTTACAGGGCTGTTGAGAAGGTCATAGTAGGTGTAGGACACTAACTTAGTGTCTGAAACACAGTAGTTGTAACTATTAGTTTGTCTTTTCCCTTTTGGTGCTCCCTGCATTCTGGATTCATGCTATAATAGATGCTCCCTTATGCTTGCACAGAATCTTAGTTTGCAGACGGCATTTACAAATATGATTTCATTTAATCCTTGTAACACTTCTGAGAGATAGGTAGGAAGCTGTTATTCCTAGAGAGGGAAAAGAACCTGCAGCTCAGAGAGACTAAATGGCCAACCTGTCTGAGCTTTAGCTTTCTTTGTAAAACAAAGACCTGCTAGAAAACAATGGGGCTTAGACTTAAATAAAACTTCTTTGGCTCTCAAGTCTTTCTACTATATTAGATCATTTTCTTTTCTTTTCTTTTTTTTTTTTTTTTGACAGAGTCTCACTCTGTTGCCCTGGCTAGAGTGCTGTGGCATCACAGCTCATAGCAACCTCAAACTCTTAAGTCTCAAGCAATCCTCCTGCTTTAGCCTACCAAGTGGCTGGGACTACAGGCTCCCGCCACACCTGGATAATTTTTTTTCTTCAGTAGAGATGGGGTCTCATTCTTGTTCAGGCTGGCCTTGAACTCCTGAGCTCAAGCATTCCACCTACCTCAGCCTCCCACAGGGCTGGGACTACAGGCGTGAGTCATTACACCCCGACTACAGCACTTCTTTAAATAAATGCAGCTGCAGTTACAGACTGGGCTACATGAGGTGTTGGCATGTATTAGGGTTATATTCAAAATGGTTCAATCAATTTTATAGGATTATTGTGAAAAGCAAAACAGAATAACACAAAAGTGCTTTGTAAACTCTCAGCCAAGCCCCCTGTCCTTCCTCCTCTGCATGCCCTCATATTCCTGCACATTGCACCCTCACACTCTCATACCTGCCAAGTCTGTGACAAGGAAGCTGCCATTTGTCCACTGATACAGCCAGTGCTGGAAGGTCTGGCATTTCTGCATGACCTCAAAGTTGCTAGATGCTGCTGGAGCCCCAGCACAGCCGCCTTCCCGGGAACAGTAAGACTCCAGGGGCTTGCCCAGGTCCTCCTCCAGGGTAGCATATGGAATATTGTTTGCAGGCCGGTAGATCAGGTACAGTGGGATGATCCTAAACACAGTTTATCCTGCAGTAAGCAGGGATTATGGCCCAGAGAGCTCCTCCCTCCAACCCAGGTCTATATTGTTGGAACTAAAAGAGGGTCCTTCTAAGAGTGGAAACGGTCAGTTCTGAGCCTGGAGAACAGTGAGGGTGAGGGAAGCTCTTCTCTGGGCTCAGAAAGGAAAATGGAGGCCAAGGGCTTCAGAGTCCTGTCCATTCTCTGTGGTTGCTGAGATTAGAACCAAACCCTGCTATGGCCACAAGCAGACATGGTGCTTGTGTGAGGGACTGAGGCCAAAAGGTGTTCATAGACAGGAACACCTCCACAGAGGCTTCACCCAGACTATGACTCACTGCCAGTCAAACCCTAGATACGAGAGTCAGAGTTCAAGCCTCAAAATGGAATCAGCTGCCATTTATAGCCGTCTCCTACAAAAATCCACACTGCCCTGCCCGCCCACAGGCCTGGTGACAGTGCCAACCAGTTTACCTGGCTCAGCCCACCTGCCCAGAGACCCAGAATCTCCTGTGCCAAACTCAGTGTAAAGAATGGGGAATTAGGGCAGGGGGGAGAGACTCAGGACCGGAGTGAATCTTTTTTTTTTTTTCCACAGCGAATCTTGAGGTAAAGATTTTAGATTTTGTGGGATCATTGAGCTGAGCAAGGGGTATGCTAAGAGCCTCTCTGCACATGGCTGTAAGTTGGGATGCAGCTGAGAGGATGTGAAATCGTGGCCTTAAAGAGGCTCACGGCAGCAGCTCCAACCACGGTACGTCCTTCTCCCCTGCACTTACTCAGGCACCGCCCCAAAGCCAGGTGCAGCTCTTGCTTCAGCTGCGAAGATTCTGCAGTACTCTCGACTCATGTTCTGGATCTTGCACCCCTGTGGATTGGAGGGAACCGGATGTGATCAGCAGAGAAGCCTCAGTTCTCTGTTGCACTTGGCTCTAAGTGGGGCCTGCAGGTGGGGTTCCCACTCTGGGGGAGGCAAAGCTCACTCCTGCCCCACGCTGGCCTCTGGGCCTCATTGTCCTCATTTGTAGAAGGGGCTTTGGACTTCTTTCCAAGCTGAGATTTTCAAAGTGGCTTCTGAGCTATGTTTCCTGGAGCCCTAGTAATAGAGGGCAGTGCCCCAGGGACCACTTGTGGAAAGCAGAAAATACTGATCCCCCGCCATTCCCCTTTTATTTCACATATAAATAAGGCTTCCACAAGAGACTATGTTTGAGGCAGGGGGTAAGGTCTCTGCTGCAAATACAGAGTGGCCATTCATATGTAACAGAACTATGGCCCAAATAGTTTTGAAGCTCTGAAGTCCTCTGGGCCAAGTACCTGACTCTGGGCTACACTTCAAGCTGTCCTTGAGGCTCATGAGGTTGAAATTGAGATGGCTTCTGCCTCTATACTAGGCCTCCTTTCAAGACCCAGGCTGGGAAAGGAGAGAAAGCAAGAGAATAAAGGGGTGAAGCACAAGGATGGGGCATGGTACCTGAATGGTGACATCGTAGTTTCTGCCCAGGAGAGAAGTCTCGCTGCTGGGCCCAAACACAAGCAGGCTGGACACTTTGATGACGCACGTGCGGCCTGACTCGAAGATGGGTTCCAGCCCATAGATGACCTTGGCCTGGGAGGCCTTCCGGAGGCCACCCCCATGTCCACTCCCTCGGAGCTCCTCACTCACCAGTCGCCCAAAGAGTTTGTCCCCCCAGCAGCCAGAGTCAGCCAGACCCTTAGCAAATACCATGGGGGTCATCTCAATCTCTTCTCCAACTGATGGGGAACAGCAGAAATGTGGGAAATTAGAAATTCCTGGCTAACCAATGTGGGGTCTGAGAGGTGGAGAAGGCCAGGACAGTACCCCACTCTGCCAGCCTGGTGTGCCAGCTTTCTGTCATAGTGTGAGCTGTGAATCCCTTAGCAGACTGAGAGCTCCTGGAGCAGCAGACCCTATTGCATCACAGAGCTCCTGGGGTACCTATCACAGCAGAGGCTCGGAAGAATTTGTAGAAGGCAGAGGTTTTCTGTGGCAGGAGTAATCAATACTGAATACTAAAATTTCTTTGTTTTAGAATTAGGTGTTTTGATCAATGATTTCATCTCAGTCAACACATTTAACTAAGTCTAAAGGTTTGCAGGACCAATCTAGTAGCAGTGCACACCCTAGTGCCCAGATTGCAATTACCAAATACCATTTCCCTCTAATGGGAACCAGAGTCCCCAACGAAAACAGTTGAGTCCAGGTCCAGACAGAAAGTATATAGCATGGACTTCACATACCTTGTGAGACCAGGAAGCAAGGAAGCTGTCACAAACCATTAGAAACTTGTCAAAAGGATATAGGCACCAACCTAAAATGATCCCCCTTGGCCACAAATGAAAACAAGTCTCAGTAACAAAGAGAATAGTGCCTGTAATGTCTTGAATGTATCAAATATGTTAAAATCCATGTGTTCATAATGGTTCAAATTGGGGGAAAAAAATCCCAATTCCCCCTCAAAAAACCAACCTTATCAGTCACCCTTGGAGGAGGATGGTAGGGTCCCAACTCATTATTCTGAAATCTAATATGTAAAGGGAAAAGAGCAAGTATTTATCCTCTATTTTCTGGTGGTCTAAATGTATCAGGGTAACCAAATAATTATTTCTTCTTTACAGAAAAGTTTCAGCTAATGAATGAAAAAGGAATGATAAAATTAAAATATTTCCATGTTGTAACTTCTAATGAAATAACAGATTTAGGCACTGATCAGTGACTGCCAAAGCCCTTAGATAACAGCACTGGTTGTATCAGACAGTCTTTAAACTTTAAAAAGGATGTCTCACACAGACACCTCCTGAATAATCCAGTGAGTAATCTTAACATTACTAAAAGTGAAAAAATTTGCTGTCATTTACCTCTGAATAGAACGCAAAAGGATATATGCAGCACATCAGTGAATTATTCGTGCCCCCCCAAATCTCACACCTGGACGGGTGCAGTGGCTCATGCCTGTAATCCTAGCACTCTGGGAGGCCAAGGTGGGTGGACTGCCTGAGCTCAGAAGTTCTATATCAGCCTGAGCAAGAGTAAGAACCCCATCTCTACTAAAAAAGAAAAATTATCCAGGCTTGGTGGCAGGTGTCTGTAGTCCCAGCTACTCAGGAGGCTGAGGCAACAGGACCTCTGGCGCCCAAGAGTTTGAGGTTGCTGTGAACTATGAAGTCATGGCACTCTACCATGTTTCCCCAAAAATAAGACACTGTCTTATATTTATTTTTTCTCAAGAAGACACACTAAGGCTTATTTTCAGGGGATGTCTTCCTCTCTTCCGTGCCAAAATGCCAAAATAGGACCATCACTAGGTCTTATTATCAGGGTAGGGCTTATATTTAACAAATGCATAGAAATCCTGCTAGGGCTTATTTTGGGGGTAGGTCTTATTTTTGGGGAAACATGGTACCAAGGGTGACAAAGTGAGACTCTGTCTCAAAAAATAATAATAAAAAAAATCACACCTGAATCTGAGCAAAGTTCTCCATCTGATTACCAACTTAGAAGAGGCACATGTATGGAGGAATATGTTAACTGGGAATACAACCAACAAAATTCAGAATGTAAGAAATTCAACACATCAAGTTACTTCAATAAATATACAGCACAGAAAGAGAAAAAATCAAGTAGGAGGAACTGTTCCATAATAACAGAAACTTGGGAGATATATCAGCCAAAAGCAAGGAGTGGTTCCTGATTCAAATAACTCAATGGTTATGGAATAATTGGGTAAATATGATTGGGTGGTTTGATGATATTAAAAAAATTATGACTAAGTTGTTAGATGTGAGGTTATATTTGATATTGATTATATTATTTGATAACTAAAAAAAGGCAATAATTGGATGAGTTAGTGATTGAATGAGTAAATGAATGAAGGAATTAATGCATTCATCAGCAAATGAAGCCGTTCACCACTGGCTGCTGCCCAAGTCCCAGGCCTGTAGCATGTCTCTTGCAGGAGCTGTACAGACTCTTTCCCTAATATCTGAGCCCTTAAAATGCCCATCGAACTTTGTGGGTATTTCACAGTCACTAGGGAGCCTGCGGACAATGTAATGTTCCCAAGTTCTTCCTAGACAGTAAGGACGCCTGCAGCAAGGGCCAAGAAGCCATGTTTCTAGCCTGCTCCCTGTGTGACTCTAATGTAAGAGGCCACAGAGCACCCTGGGAAACTCTGAGTAGGACCTAGCAGGATAGGATGTGCCCTGGTGGCCATTCTCACCCATGATCACAGAACCTGGCATGAAAGGCCACAAGGCTGACTGGTTCCTTATGCAATGGCCCTCTTAGCCTCTTCTTCCTCCACAGTCTCCTGAAAGAGCATCCTCCTCTATCATCCTCCCTAAGCCATATCCTAAAATAGGAGGCAAAGGGGGGAAGTGTGTGGATTTGGACCAGTTTTCAAGCCCTTAAAGAAGGTCCATCCTACAGATGACAGGAGTAGGGATGAAGACCCACCCCCTCTTTCCCCAGGGGGCACTGTACCTTCACCTTCTTCTCTGGAGACGAATCCTGACAATGCTACATGAAGAAAAAGAAAAGAAAGCTACTTTCAGGCTCCTGTGCAGAGTGCCTTCTCCAAAGATGCCTGCCCCTACCCCTCAGGGGCTGGGCCAGGCAGAGCCCCCAGGCAGCAGGGCACACTCACCCTCGGGGCTGAGGCAGAAGTCAGTGGAGGCTGAGCCATGCTCGTTGTGGATGGTACATCGATACACGCCACAGTCTACGAGGGACGCCTGCACAATGGCCAGGGCTGCCGGCCCCTCATCCCCTGCGCTGCAGAAAACAGAGACCCTTCTCCTGAAGGCCATCACCCAGTCACAGACAGCACCAGACTGTAGTCCTGAGGTCCTCAGACCCTATTCTCATTGCCTGCTATGAACCCAGGCTCTGAGAGTTCTGGGGAGGCAACAAGATCCCGCGGCCTGTAGATGTGACACCTACTGGCCGTGTGACTTTGGGCAAATGGCTTAAAGGCCTTTGACCCTCAATTTTTTCATTTCTACTATGGGAATAATAGAATCTCCTTCATAGGACATAACTGTGAGGATTATATGGCGTGATATACTCAAAGTGCTAGGAAAACGCCCGATGTTAAGGCTGTAATTAGGGAGGCAGTCAGGTGCGAATGGTACCCACGGGCTTACCTCCTGCCCACCTCACCCACAGGGCGCTGGTCCTTGGCCCATGTCAAGACTGAGTCACTGAGAATGTTGAAAAACTGGCACCAGAGCTTCAGACTCCCTGAGGCATCAGGAAACTGCTCCACTCGAATCTTCCGGATCACCTGTGGGGCTGAGAGCAGGGCCAAGTTAAGAGGGAGAAACCATTTCCCCTCCATCCTGTGCACTCTCTGGCCACAGCCCAGCCTTCATGGGTGTCTTTGGTGGAACAGGCTGCGAGGATTTGAATCTCCCCACAAACCCACCACTGCAGAGGCCCCAGCTGCCTCCCTTGTGTGCCGCAGGCTTCTGCTCTGACCCTACCACACGCGTCTCAGCTGGAAAGAAGCCACTACTCCCTCAACCCCTGGCCAAGAGGTCCTCACAGCAGTCAAGAGAAGAACTTCTTTTATACTTCAGGTGCCTAGCACCAGAAACCGGCATTTGAATCCCACCTCCCCTACTTTGTGGTCGTGGGAAGAGCCAGTGGAGGGTTATGGCGATGACGGAGGTAGTGTACTAGCAGAGGGAGCGGGGCCTGAGCTAAGACCTTGACTCAGTCTATCCCATTTGGTTCACAACATCACAGAGGTGGTGCTGTTATCCCCATTTTATGGAGTGGCAGAGCCAAGACAATTCTAAAGGCTGTGAAGTAAAAATACTGTTACAAAGGTAATCCATAATTCTCTGGTAGGGACATGTCAACCGGTAGGGTGGGGCTGTCAGTCACCTCGAGCAGCCATCCCTTGTGAAGCCCAACCTCCCCTGCCTCCCCACTGCTCACCCTTTAGCAGGTCTTTGGCTTTCCTGGGCTTGGGCAGAGCTTCCTGTTTGCTTTCGTCCAGACCACTGGCCTTGGGGCTGGGGCCCAAGCCTCTTGCTGCTGGCTCCTCTTCTGTCCGTGGCACCTCCAGCATACCCACCTTTCTGCCTTGGGTTGGGGAGCATCTCTCCCGCTCTGGAGTCTCTGGGGACCCAGGCGCCAGGCTTTTCCTGGAACCCCGAGGGGAAACCATGGGGCTCTCCTTCTCCTCGGGCTTGGATGCCTCCGCTTCTCCCACTGCTCTGGCCTTAGGGAGAAACCTCTTCCTCCGTGCTCCTAGGGCCAGTTCCTCAGGTGTAGCTGCAGGGAGACCTGTTGGAGCCTCCCCTGGGAACTCTTCTTCTTGGGAGGGTTCCTGGGCTCTGGCCTCTGCTGAGAGCAGTCCCTCCCCAGAGACTGCCTGCCCACATGCCTTCTTCACCAGTGGCGCCGCCATGCTGCTCTCCTGGAAGGCCCCCAGAAGGCCAGGCCCCTCCAGGGAAACCTCTCCCTCATCCTGCCTGGATTCTTCTGAGGCCAGCCCAGGGCCCTCCTCACCTACCACGATGGCAGGGACAGCGAGGGGGCTGAGGCCAGTGCCTTGGGACCCTCGGCCAGTAGCCAGGGCCTGGTGGCCAGCCTGCACCTCACGGTCCAAGAGGCCCGTGAGGCGGCGAGTGGTGCGGGGGCTCAGCAGCAGCGTCTGTGCACTTTGCACCAAGTGGTTGTTCTCGACACGGTCCAGGATGCGCCTTGATGTCCGGGGACTCAGCCCAGCCACTTCCACAGTGGGGACCAGAGTGAGCGAGGGCTCCAGACTTCCAGTGGCAGCACCTGCTTGGATCTCTGTCCCTGCTCCACTTGGCTCTGCAGTAGATAGCTTCAGCAGCAGAAGCAAGTAGTTCTTCAGGGAATCTATGAGGCCGGGGTCACAGGTCCGGGAGCTTGAGGTCCCCTCCTCCACATCTGGCACCTTAGCACAGGCCCCCTTGTTGCTGGTGGCCATGGTTTCTGATGGGTGACTCTGGGTGGGGGTCTCCGGCCCCAGATGCAGTGTGGAGGCGGAACTCAGCAAGGCCTGGTCTGCAGAGGGCAGGAAGGCAGCGGTGCTCATATGCTGAGAAGTTGGGGTGCTGGGCAGTTCCTCCTTGGGGCTACTGGTCAGGGCAGTCCCAGGAGGAGGAGGCACAGTGGGTACCCCCTGACACAGGCCAGCTGGAGGACAGCCACCCAGATCCACGCATGATGCTCCCCCTGGTTGCTCCTCCTTAGGGTACTGGAATAGGCTGTTGTGTGTGTCAGTGGTGACCGGCCCAAACAGGTCTGGCCCTTGCTGTGTGCCTCCTCCCACCTGCTCCAAGCTCCCTGCAGGAAGCAGCTGTGATGGGAGCATGAGGTTCCCTGACAGGGGACCCAGCACAATCTCCTCATGGTTCCTGGAAGCTGTGGCTGCTGCCACCTCAGATCTGGGCATGAAACCAGATTTTTCAGGGACACAAGACCCTTCCGGAGTCTGCATGAAATACTCAATGATCTGAGGAGACTGAGGACCCTTTGAAGGTGAGAGTTCAGGGGCTGTGCGTGGTGGGCTGAGGCTGGTCATGGCCTCCTGCTCTGACCGAACTTTCATGGCTGTGGTTACAGTCCCCTCTGATTGGGTCCCCCTTTCTGCCTGTGCCCATCTGTCTTCCTGCACCCTGCCATCTGCCTGTGCCCTCCTGCCTTCCTGTATCGTCTTATCTGCTTGTGGCTTTTCTCCCTGCATCTCCATCCTTTTCTGTGTCACCACACCTACATCCTTCTGTGAGCACCTGCCTGACTGTGGCCTCTCACTGTCTTGTGTCACAACACCTGCCCGCACCTTGCTGTCTGCCTGTATCCTCTGCCTTGTCTGTGCTTGCTCTCCCTGGGTCCTTCCATCCACCTGCACCTTCCCTGCTGCCTGCATATTCTTCTTGCCTCCAGCTGCCTGGTCAGCAGATGTTCTCTCATCCTCCTGTGTTTCCATATCCATGGATTTGATGGCACCTTGACTTCTGGAGGTGCTATAGCCAACAGAGGCTACGTTAGGGCTGCTGCTGGCAGGCAGGGTAGGAGCCACAGTTGCCTGGGACTCTAGGCCCTGAGAACACAAAGACCAAAGTGAAGACTTAATGATATATACATCAGAAGCTCTTTCCAGTCTGTTTTCCCCACCTCTTCCAACCTTACCCAGAGCTGCTCTGATGGGAGGCAGACTTACAACACAGTCTCAGATCCCCATGCACATCCACCCTAATGTCTGATCTGGAGTCTGGGCTAGAGACTATCCTGCATCCATGCCCAGCTCTGGTCTTTTCCACCTCTTCCTGAAGAAATCATCACTTTCCTGAAAGACCGTCTCATGTGTTATCCTACCCCTCTCCTCTGCCCGTGAAGGAATATGCTTGCCAGGGCTCCCAGAATAGTCCATCTGTCCTTCTCTTGTTTCTCCAGACAGAAATATGGGTGATGTGGGAGAATGCCAAAGGGTCTCCCAATGATGGCCTCAGTGACAGCATCCACCAGTAACTGAGTGAGTGGTAACAACATGACCCTTTCCCAACAGAGAGGGCTAATGAAATGTACAAATGGCACCTACACCAAGAACTCAAACATTACAGTGTTGCCCTTGTGAACATCTACTGTCTGAAAAGCAGCATGCTGGGCCCTATAGATATAACCTCGCAGCAGCCCCAAGTACTCACATGGACCATCCCCATCCCAGAGATGACAATGACACAGAGGGGTGTGATTTGCCCGTTGTTAGGCAGTAAGTGGCAGTGCTTAGATCAGGAGCCAGGTGTAACCAGGCCCATACCCTAGGTTCTTTGCTATTATGCTGCAATGCCACCTATTTAAAAATAATTAAAAGACAGACTTCTTGTCTAAATTTGGTGGCATAAGACAGTAATTTGCCTCTTGTCCTCCTAGATATCATTAAAACCAACAAAGTAGGCTCGGAGCCTGTAGCACAGTGGTTATGATGTTGGCCACATACACTGGGGCTGTCAGGTTCAAACCCAGTCTGGGCCACCTAGACAACAATGACAACTGCAAGAAAAAAATAGCTGGGCATTGTGAAGGTGAGAGTTCAGGGGCTGTGGGTGGTGGGCTGAGGCTGGTCATGGCCTCCTACTCTGACCAAACTTTCATGGCTGTAGTCCTAGTGTCCAGGCTTACTCCTGGACTACATGGCTGGTGCCTGTAGTCCCAGCTAATTGGGAGGCTGAGGCAAGAGAGTTGTTTAAGGCCATGGGTTTGAGGTTGCTGTGACACCACAGCACTCTACTGAGGGTGACATACTAAGACTCTGTCTCAAAAATAAAAAAAAAAAAAACCCAACAAAATAAACAAGAAACAAACAAAGCAAACTCCATTGTTAATGAAAATAAAACCTACAGTGTAAACCAGGGGTCCTCAAACTTTTTAAACAGGGGGCCAGTTCACTGTCCCTCAGACCATTGGAGGGCTGGACTGCAGGCCCGGGATGAGTCGGCTGCTAAGCAGGACAGGCAGCAGCGGCAAAAACGACCGGAGGGCTGGATAAATGTCCTTAGCAGGCGGCATGTGGCGTGCGGGCCATAGTTTGAGGACACTTGGTATAAACAAATAAACAAAAGGATACAGGCTGCCCAAAGCAGGCAAATGCAGAGAGAGGGAACAAAGGCACAGGGAAATACACAATGCACAGCTCAGTGGGTCTCAAGACCCCATCAGAAGCACAGCTGCTGTGTTTTTAACACATTTGGAGGTGATGATCTATAAACTCCACATGCAACAAGACCTGTAGAGTCATGGAGGATGGAGCAGGAGATGTAGGGGAGATGACCACTGGAAAGATGGACAGGAGGGAGGACAGACCAGCGGCAGTAGATCTCAGAAAGGAGCACTGTGCCTATGAGCTGTGTGAGGAAACTACCAGAGAACAAGCTTCAGTCAACAGAGAGATAATTGAAGGAACCACAGCAAAAGAAATGATGGTAAGCACCAAATATATTTTACCTCTATTGCTGTACATTAGCATATACTAAATATTAACATATATTAGCACATAGCAACTGTAGAATCAAGACCAAAGGCAAGTGGGTTTTAGAGTAGCAAATCAGAATGTTGATGCTCTACGCCTGTACAGAACGATACAGTTAGCACAAAAGTGGAAGGGAATGAGAAGTGGAATAAATCCCTTGATTACATCACCACGGGTGGCCAGGAACCAAAGACATTACTCAAAGCTGAAAAACCAAGAAATAATGATACAGAATATTTAACTATGCAAAGATAATCACTTAGAAATAAAACTTTAGACTAATATGAGATAGAAAATGAATAGGGAAGGTAGGAAGGAAGTACAAACACTTTATCGTTGCTCCTTGTAAAAAATAATGGAGGCTGAACAAATAAAAGAATTAATGGTAATGCATAAAATTCAAACTATAAATTACTACATACAAATATTTTTTCACTTGCCTATTTTCAATGAACAAATAATTCTACCAAAACCCAATCATTTTGTTTTATGCAAATGAAATTCTCAAAAGTCTGATCAATGTGTCCCTGATGGTATCTTTGATGAGGAAATTGCTTGGACCTTCTCAATAGAAAACGCCCTCAAGCTATATACAACAACAACACAGGAAATAAAGTTTCTAGTTCTATCAGAGCCTCAAACAAAATCAAAGCAGTCAGACCAAATAATGTAGACTTTAAAATATACATAACTGGAGGATGGTGGTCTTTTGAGATGCTAGTTCTCAGCTGCCAGCAAATTAATAAACTTCTCTTTCCTTTTTCTAAAAATAATAAAGCGCCGGCCACATACACTGGGGCCCACAGGTTCAAACCCAGCCCAGGCCTGCTAAAAACAACCATGACAACTATGATAAAAAATAGCCAGGCATTGTGGTGGGTGCCTGTAGTCCTAGCTGCTTGGGAGGCTGAGGCAAGAGAATCACTTAAGTACAAGAGTTTGAGGCTTCTGTGAGCTATGATGGAACAGCACTCTACTGAGGGCGACATATAAGACTCTGTCTCAAAAAATAAAAAATAAATAAATAAACATAATGAAAATATATATAAATTAAGCATAGAATTTGAAGTTACTTCATTTGCATATGGGAATTTGAATGAATGCTACGGGTATGGGAAAATTTGAAAGAGTTTGATAAATACCAGGAGTAAGCCTGCCTGAAGGATTTCAATAAAAATATTCTTCCTTGGCTCAGAGCCTGTGGCTCAAGAGGCTAAGGCGCCAGCCACATACACCTGAGCTGGCAGGTTCAAATTCAGCCCAGGCCCACCAAACAACAATGACAGCTGCAACCAAAAAATAGCCAGGCGTTGTGGTGGGTGCCTGTGGTCCCAGCTACTTGAGAGGCGGAGGCAGGAGAATCGCTTGAGCCCAGGAGTTGGAGGTTGCTGTGAGCTGTGATGCCACAGCACTCTACCCAGGGCAACAATTTGAGGCTCTGTTTCAAAAAAGAGAAAAAAAAAATTCTTCCGGGCAGCACCTGTGGCTCAGTGAGTAGGGCACGGGCCCCATATACTGAGGGTGGTGGGTTCGAACCCAGCCCCAGCCAAACTGCAACAACAAAAAAATAGCTGAGCATTGTGGCGGGCACCTGTAGTCCCAGCTGCTCGGGAGGCTAAATATCCCTCATGGATAAGGGGTCCTATTGTATTCTGTTAGCCAGAGGAATAGGCATGGGCACAGCCTCTAAGGACAACAATTTGGTGCTATTTACTTAAAAAACACTTATAATCTTTGACCAGCAAGGATCAAAGGAATTTACCCTACACATGTACTTTCATGTTCAGATGGACTTACACACACACATCAGTGCAGCACAGTTCACAATAGCAAAGACTAGAAATGAAGTAAATTTCTCCAGTACCAGACTGATCCATTGAATTGTGGCATATCCACAGTCCATATAAATAAAATATAAATAAAATAAATAACCAAATAAAAAAAAAGCAAGGTGAAGAATAAAAAGTATAAAACACAACCTTCATGTGGAAAATACACAGGCGCACATTCAACATTTGTAAATGTAAATGTAAAGAAAACAGCTCTAGAAGAACAGCTCAAGAAGCCAGCTTTGATAACTGACTTTAGGAAGAGGAACGGGATGATTGAGGTAGGGAAGGGAGAGACTTGATAGTCTCTATATCCAGGGGTGTTTAATCTTTTTTTTTTCCTGCCACATACTGGATAAGGAAGAATTATCTTGGGCCACACATTAAATAAACAAACACTAACAAAAGCTGATGAGCACAGAAGGAGTCTGTGCATAATTTTCATGGTATCCAACAACCCAAGTAAGCAAAACAGGCCTCAAAAAATCCACATGCAGCATGTGGACCAGGATCGCACACCCCTGTTTATCTTTTGTGCTTTTCGAATTTTTTTTATCATATGCATATAATACAAAGTCTACAAAAATACAAATAAAAATGAAAATATATAAGGAAACAAACCCTTATGTGATAAACGAGGTCTATCCTTCAGCAAGGGTCCCAGATCTCTCTCCATGTTCATCTCTTGGATCCTTTTATCTAACACTAATTTAGCTGTACCAACTGCGCTATTTTATAACAACTTTGTGTGGTTTTTTCCGACATTCCCACCCCTTTCCTTGCCCACTTTCTGAGACTCCTTCTCATTCTTGAAGACCTCATTCAAGTTTCTTCTCTCCTTTACAGACTTCCTGAGTTCTCTCGTCCACCCCACAAAACGTCATGGTTCCTCACCTTGTGCCCCTGTAGCAAATGCACCTAACTAATTCTATTGCTATATCCTCATTCTCTGTGGTGGTTATTTGTTTCATGTATGTGTCATCTTCTAATCTGTGAACTCTTCCCTACTGAAGAGGATTCAGCACAAGCCCAGGAGTTAGAGACCAATAAATGCATGGAGGACAGGGGCTCATACCTCCCTGTCCTCCAGGGAGGCCAAGGCAGGAGGATCCCTTGAGCTCAGAAGGTTGAGACCAGCCTGAACAAGAGTAAGATCCCATCTCTACTAAAAATAGAAAAACTAGCTGGGCACTGTGGCAGGTGCCTGTAGTCCCAGGCTACTCAGGAGGCTGAGGCAGGAAGATC